TATTGAAACGACACTTGTTTCGCCCGCTTTCAATATATATATATATGTGCGTTGTATCTATATAATAAAATAAACATTCGCCGGGGTTTTTGAAACGGGACGCGACGCGTGTCACGTGACACCGAGTGGAAAAACGCGCGCGCGACACACTCTCCGGCAAATTTTAGTCACGCGACACCGCATGGGGCAGGAGTAAATGGCACTAATGCAACGACAAAGAAGGGACAAGAGTGCATATGGCGGTGTTCGATGTTTATTCACGGTGGTGATAGCGCGCTAGACAAAAAGGAAAATGAAAAAGGAAAGGAAGAAGAAAGGGAAGAGAGGAAGAGGAGCAGGGAAGAGAGACTGACGAAACGATCCACGGCGTTAGAGGGTGCCGTTAATAATATCCAGTACACGGGCACAATGGCCACCATGTGGCAGGTTGTTTCGCGGTAGACTGAATGAGGCTGATTAAATTGAAGGGTCACGGGGAGAGAAAAGGGGAACCCCGCGGACCTAGGGCGTGCTTCATCGTGAAGGGTTGTTACTTGTTTAACATTTGTGAACGCTGCTTGAGATCGCAGCGGCGTAACGCAACCGTGCTTCAACCATTAAGGACAATTATCTAGCCGATATGCCGCCAGATAAAAGTCTGCTCCGTGAACAGAGCGTAACCTATGTAACCGTTTTATGCCCCTGGGAACAGTTGATCTCGTTTCTCGCGACCGCGAGAAATTTATAATTCATAACTTTGTCATTTTACTTTTTTCATTTTTTTTTTTTCCTTTTTTTTCCCCAGAGATAGGTAACAAATAGTTTATCGCGTGGTGTCCGTGTGTATAAAGTCTACGTCTGTTTTCACGAGAAGGGAAAATGAGATCTCGCGATAAGGAGTTGCGATGAAACTGTTTGACAAGCAATTGGAACAGTGTCACCGCGATTGTTGCATAATGAATGTCTCGTTTCGCATCTTGAATGGGATCGTGTATATATCGTTGTTATTAATATTCATTTCCTTTCAAGCGATGAAAATAAACTTGACGACGATAATTTAATTATTTAGTTATTCAGTTTACATGTCGTATTTATTTGCTGTCGTACAGCGATAAGATTGAATATATTATTTCGTCTTTAATGTCTTTTGTATTCTTATATGTACGTGTGTAGTGTATTCCTTCGTCTTTTGTGAATTCGCCTCGAGACTTCCAAAGGCGTATTAAAAATCGGCGAACGATTTGGAGAACTATTTTAAAAGAGGTACTAGAAAGTAGCGTAGGTTCCTTAGCTCGTTGTTAATTTGAAGAGCACACAGCACGCCCGAGCTGAAAGAAATACCTGAACGCTGACTGGAATCCGGTTAATGTTTGCTTTGACTCGAGGAATTCCCGCGCATTTCATTAAGCCCGATCGCATTCACCGAATTGAACTCGTTACTAACATTTCAAAGAAGAAGAAAAATACCGGGGGGGAAAAATGGGTGACGTTTTACGGTGGGACAACAAACGTTTCGTAACGGTGAATTCTTCATCGCTTGTTTGACCGCGCGATTCCCACGTGTGTGTGTGTGTGTGTGTGTGTGTGTGTTCTTACGGAATATCGTCATTTCCATGCATTCATTCCAAGGTGGAAGAATATAAGGCTGCGGCATATTTGAATTTTATACTTCAGTCGTCGATAATTCCAGCGTTAAAAAGGTCCATTTCCAAGCAAACGTAGACCGTTCGAAACTGAATTCATTAAATTAGTTAAACTAACCGACTCTGCACAGAGGCGGCGTGGAAATTAGACTGAAATAGGATAAAAGACATGGCTCAGGCTATCGTCGAGCTGAAAGATCGCTCTCCCCCTTTCCTCCTCATCGTAGCTTTTCATTCTCTCTGTTTCCTCGGCAAAGCGCAGCTTTGGCACACGGTGTGACGGATGCGAGAGTATTTCTTTGGTAAACGTCGCGTCCTCACGGGTACCGTTGGCGTATTCCGTGGCGTACACCATGGTCCCCTCCCTTTTGTTCGTCCGGGGGATACGTATGGAGCGTGACAAAACGCGCGGACTTAAGAAAGTCTCCGCGTTTTGTCACGCGGCACACATTTGGACGGGACATTCGTGGCAAACGAGTCGTGACGACTCGCCGGGGCCAATTCCCGTCTTGAAAAGAATATTCACAATGCCCCGTTCCTTTATCGCGGCTCATCCTTTATTTTTAAGGTGTCTCCGCTGTGACTTCCCCGGCCGCTCGCTCTACTTACATCGCTCGGCGACAAGCGATAATGAATAACTCGCGCGCGCGCGAGGCCAACGCGATCACGCTTTCGTCACCTGGAACCCACGAGAACGCTTTGAATTTGTATAGCCACGGATCTGTAATCGCTCGCCTTTTGTGGGACGAACGGTGCTTGAAATTGGAGAATGAATATCCTCCAGAGTTTTCGGCTCTCTCTTTCTCTGTGGTATTGTGCCCGCCGATGATATATTTGTCGTGTGGGATTCTTTCTCGGGCGGAATCGTGTATTAGGCTGGTTATTGCGTAATAAATATGGTCCTCGCGGCGGAATAAGTAATAAGTGGAATAAGTATAATAACGGCATTGTGAGGCGATATCTATCGCGTGGGATTACGCGTTGAGTCGTGTCATAAATAAAAAGTAACAGAAACGAAAGCACGTTCATCACTCTCCGTTTCCATTCACCGAGGAAGAGTTTCAAGGTTTTTATGATCTTGCCAACAAATTGGCAAATGTCGCTGTTTGAACCCTCGTTTCTCTGCTTTTTCTTGAAATTATTTGTATCGGAAGTATCGGAAAGAGTATAACAAAGTAAGAAAGTCCCAAGAACTAAAATTTCGAGGCAAGCGCATCTTTTGGAAAAATTCAAAAAAAAAAAAGAAAAAAAAAATCAATTCGAATTCGCAGGAATGGAGCGTGCCACAAGCAGCGTGCACATTATCTCACAACGTTGGTGCGGAATATCCTCTTGTAACGCGCGAGTGGACGCGTTCGCGAAATTCGATGCGACGCGAGGAGGAGACGCATGGAATGCCGGAATGCGAATGATGGATCCTGGTCTGTGGGCCAGATCTTGCTTCCGATCACGAGCAACCAGCTCGTGATCGAGAAGCGTTTGAGGGATGGCAACAGTGGCGGAGGGGAAAAAGGATGGCAGATGGGGCGGCAATCGATCGACCGTATGTCAGATGTTCATGCAGATGAGACTTTACGAGACTCGTGCGTATAATGCGGCTAATGCTCGCGGTAAACAGCGTGAATCGTTTAGCGAAGCCGGTTTAATGCTGGCACCAGTTCATGATTGCCCCAAAGAGGTTTCACCCCCGCGAAAGGGGAAAAGGGAACGTTGAAAGGGACGCAAGGTTCTTCCATTAATGGCCAATATCTTGTCGCGACGTTGCAAATTCGACTTTCCATTATTTAACAGCGTCCAACGCTTTTAAATCTCCTGGGTTTCATTGGCCAACAAAAATTTATTGAGCGCCGCACATAGTTTACGTATGTTTTTATCAGTTCGATGTAACCTATATTATTTACGAGGATGTTAAAACAACTTTTATAATGAGACGATACATTGATTAGAAAAATATATTTTGATTCGAAAGCATATGAAAATTTTTAGCGAGAACATTGAGCTTGTTTGTTTTAGATATCAATTCATTAATATCTGGTTTGGTAGAATTAGTGGCAACACAGAAAGTATTTTCAAAATGATCGTCTGAAATTTTTGTTCCTATTTTATTTTTTGCACGCTTTATATGGGGAAAAAGATCTGTTCAGAAATATAACACTCTATAGTACTCTCCAAAGGGAGCATCACGAACGTTAAATAATAGTTAAAGTTATTTAAATAATAAAATTCTTATTCAATTATTCCAATTCTGGTTATACAGCGCGGGCCGCAAGTTGGACAGAAATAAAGCACAATTTTACACACATTTTTATGAATGATTTAAAAATATAGCATTGTAAATTTTACTCAATTTCTATTCTAAACTGCTCGCTCTCGCCACTCTGGTATTTTTAGCTTAATTATTTATTGAAATACACACCGCAAATTCAAGAAGGTGTGTCGCATCTTGAATTTGCTTGAAAATTCTTCAAAAGTCGACGATGTAAATTAACCGAGGAAAGATTGCAAATGAAATGTTACGTTAATGCAACTTTGACGCTCGGTAAGTTAGTTGGGGAACGCGATGGCTTTCCTAGCCAATTAGACGCCTCCGAGCTCATTTATAGTCCGCGAGGGACGTCCGTGCCGCGTGCGGTGTATTAATTGTAATTAAACCTCTTCTTCGAGGATGAATCGCGACGAACGCTTGCTGGTCACCTTAACGACGCACTTATTGCACCCGTGCGTCGAATATCCGATGATTCGTTGGGTTTTCTACTGACATTTCGTCCCTCGACTTAACGCCGAGGAGAACAATGGGGACTCGTATTCTTAGAAGAGGAGGTTGCTGACACACAGGACAGAATTTATCCGACGTTGAAAACGACGAAAAATCAAGGTGAGTTTTTTTGTAAAATAAAATTCTGTCAAAGGAGAATTCGCGGAATTTTCCTATCAAACTTTTCCATCCGTAATTGTGAAATTTTTGTTCTAGATTTGCCGGTCAATCCTATGATTTAACATTAAAGTTAACGAAATGTCGTCAGTGTTTCGCTTCCATCTACAATCTACAATCTTTCACGAACCTTGAAGAAGTTAATCGTAAACTATCTTTTTTTCTTTCGAACGAAGAGTCAAGTTCATTAGACTGGCAGATTCAGCATCTCGCTGGGTAACTAGAGACGCGCAAATATTTTTGCCAAAATTACAGCTTCGACATTAAAGACGCGCCACGGCGAAACTTCCAACGCGTCGTCACTCGTCTCTCGCCAAAGTAACGCATTTGTCGCTTCCACCTCGAGGGAACGGCGTAAAATAGAATAAATATTTCACTTTTAACCAGAGAACTTAAGAAATGAAGATAAATTCAGCCGTCAAAAAATTTCTTTCACAGAGCTATGTATGAACAACGAGGAGAAGATGGCCGTTTATGGTAATTGATATTTGTTGTTACGTACGTTGTGTACGCTCAGAAACGTCAACACTACGTACGGTGTGTACGCTCCGGGTTTCGCCTCTACCTTTTCGCAAAACTGTTCCGGCCGCGTCGCGGTTATGGCCGGCAGTTTGCGGTCTGCCGGGGGATGTTCGTAAACGATGAACGATAAGGCGATTTCTATGGAGTCCCTTTTTACCGTCGTTCCCGTCTTTTTGAATTCCTAGGGGACGACGGAACGGCAGCCAGAAAAACGAAGAAGAGAAGACGAAAGTAGAGACGAACGCGATAACGTCTTATTGCCCGCGGCTGCGACTTTTCCCGTTCGCCCGGCGACCACGAAAATTAATTATTGCACATTCTTCTTTGAATATCGTCGTCGTTTATCTTCTCCCACCCTCCCACCGTTCCTCCGCCGTTACACTTTCCACCGCACGTGATACCTTGTAAACGCGCGACGGGCTCGTTTACTATTAAATTGTCTCGTTAAACGAAGTTACAAGAAGCGTTTCAATTTGCAATCGAATTCGAATTATAATTACTTACATCTGAATTTGTAATTAAACGATCTAGTTCGTTATCCTGAAGATAAATTAATAAACAATATAGCTATATGATAACTAACAAATAACTGCACAAAAGCCGCATCTATCTTCGCAGCAAAAGCTTTTCACCATACACAAAACAACAATACTCAATCGTCCATCATTTTTACAGACTCCATGAGCTTAATCAGAGCAATAGGAAACATAAATAGTAAAACAAAACATGAAACTATTCTAAACATTCAACATATTTTTACGTTCCTCACCAACAATGACAAAGACATAATCATCGCCTGGGTTCCATCTCACCAGGGAATCAAAGGTAACGAGGAAGCTGACATAGCAGCCAAAGAAGTAACATCGCCCTCGTCGGATGTCATCCGAAGACGAATTCCTTATCAAGACCTTGTTGTAACATTACACTATGCCGAGAAACAATCATGGAACAAAATATGGAACACCTTCAGAAGAACAAAAACTCATAATATAACCCAAGATTTCTATCAAACAATGCCTACCCACAACATGAAAAGAAAAGACAGAATAGTCATGACAAGGCTTAGAACAGGACACTGCAAACTCACACATGAGTATCTATAAAAAAAAAACAGAACCCCAGAATGTGTATCCAATGCAACCGAATTTTATCAACCCATTTTATCATCTTCTATTTGAATGCAGCAAGTGCCACGCTCAAAGGCAAAAATACAAAATAACCGGCAGCCCTGACGTCGCAGAAACACATAGGAAATGTCCTGAATTATCTAAAGGAAACTAACATTTACCATAAGATATAAGATATCGTTTTGAAAAGAAGGAAACAGTATCTAGCCGTCGCTAATGACCAGAAGGTAGATGCGACGTTAATCATAAATTAAAAAAATAAAAAAAGATAACTGTACGAACTGTGATAATATTTTGCCACGTCGGCGAAGAAGAATAACAATTTCTCACGTGTGTTTTTCAAAGGTCAATTGCTTATGATTGACGAAAATGACGAAACGAATAATTTATCAAAAAAAAGTCATCTGAATTTCGTAGAAATTCGTCTTCCAGGAAGCTGCCCGATTTTTGTTCGCTGTTAGCAAATTAGTTCTCGTATTCTCACTATACTCTCGGCATTTAGCCATGCATCCGAGGCTTTTGTTCCTACGGCACGAATTTGTTCGCGTCTTTTCATCCTAGTTACCGGTACAATAACGTCAATTACCAGCCTCGTGGCGTCGACATCGCGTGTGTTCGTAAGGAGATGACAGTCATTCTATCGCTGTCAATACACGCAGTCAGTATATTGAAAATTATTGGTACGTTGCACAAATGTAACAAGCCATTAACGCGAGAGCGTACACGTAACGTGCTCTTGCTCCGTCAAGTGTATTAGAAACAATGGTGGTCGGATGAACGAGTGAATATGACGCGCGTATCTGAGCTACCGGGCCACACACTCTCTGTGTGTGCTTGATCGATTATTTAAAACAAGGAAACAACAGGCGAACGCATCGCAGTTTAGATAGGTACATACGTGTAACGCGTCAGAATTTAATAAATTTTCCGCCGGCGAAAAATCTCGCTCGGCAATTTACCCCTCCCAACGAAACTCGAGCCCCAATTCTTTCGGTTTCGTTCCAATTAGGTTTCTTTCTTTCTCTCCATTATTGTTCTTTTTTTTTTCCCCCTATTTTTTTTTCTCTTTTCTCTGGCTCGTTCGAAATCCTCTTTCATTTCATTATAGCTGGTCCGTTATAGAGACCGAAGCCATCGCGAAACGGCGGAAATAAAATTAGCTCAACAGCTTTTTCCCCGAATCGCGATCGACAGCGCGCTAAACCGAATTTCGCGGACGTGCTTTGACGCGCGCCACTGTGTCCGGTTCCCTACTGCGAAAAGAGAAATACCAGCAAGAAACGAGCGGGGAAAGCGAAAACGGATCCGGCGTGCCATTTATCTTCTTCGCGCGAGTCTTTGGGTTCAGCCTCGGCCCCCAAAACCGCAAATTTGCAGCTCATTGGTTTCGGCGTCTTTGACCTTTCCGTAAATCCACATGTATCCATTTCCCAAAAGATGGAAACTTTTTGCAAGATTTATTGAAACGCTAGAATTCATAATCTTTTCGCTTTAAACTCAGAAATTTTACAGATTTCCTGATCCGTGTTAAAAAACTACAGGGCGCGTTTTTAATTTCTAACCTGTGAGTGAGCTGTCCCCTCAGGAAACAGTCTTCTAAATTTTTAATAAATCCCGCGTCGCAACATTCGCGTGATAAGAAAGTTAATAAAGCCCCGTACCTCACGGAGGAAACAAAATGTCCGCGGTAGTTGTGAACGATCGTGAATAACCTGCCCTGTGAGCGTACGAGCGCGCGCGATGAAAGTAAAAGAGGAAGATCGTCCCTAGCTTTCGCTAGCGAACGATCGTACGTTTCAACGTTGGCCGGTGTAAATAGGATGGGGAAAGAAAGAGAGAGCGAGAGAGAGAGAGAGAGAGAAATCTTCTTTCAGAAGATCGTGGGGCGGCTTTGGAAAAAGTCAGCTCGGGGCATGAGGCGAACGCACAAAGGCTCACCCGATCCGATCGACGCCAATATTTTGACAATGCACCGGCCATCGACACTGGGGTGAAGAGAAGGACGCGTCTAACCGTGGAATTCCCTGGTGGGGTGGCGATGGCGACGGCGCCCCTATAGAAAGCACCGGCGTGTCGCTACTTGAATGAAACCGCTTGGCGAAGGGTAGGTGACACCACGATGGTTCTGTCGTTGTTGCACGGTGGTTGTGGTTGTGCGGTGTGGTACTTTTATTGTATAAAATCCACAAAGTATATACATATATGTGTGTGTGTGTGCGCGCGCGCGCGCGCGCGCGTATATGTGTATCGAATTCAATACCGAACGTAATCTGGCAAATGTCTAGCCTGGCCAACTGCACCTTCGCCTGGCCAAGCTACCTCCGCGACTCTCTCTCTCTCTCTTTCTCTCTTTCTCTGCCTACCTATCTTCCCGCCACAATGCCTTGTTGCCGTTGTTTATGTAATCCTATTATTCCATATTGTGCCTTTTAAGAAACCTCAGCGACGCTCATCCTGGTGAAATCGAGGTTCACCCGGAGATTTACGACGTTCCAGGGTGAACATGCGTCGCGCACAACGTGTCGATTTTTTGACTTTCAACTTTATTCGACAAAACGATTGGTCTCTTCTTTCGAGGAAAGAAGACTTTTCGTTGAATCTCGCGGGTGAGGGAGAATTATCGTCCGTATATCTACCGGTTTATCTTCTTATCGGTAGAAAGACTCGCGAACAAATGGATTTGGTGCAATTTGTGATTGTAACGGGATATCGTTACCTAATAACGTCGTAATGTGACTTTTAATTGGATTTTTAGTAAAGCAATCGAAGAGAAATTTTATTTACTGATTATTCGGAAGACAAGTCTAATTTCCAATTCCTTTATCAAAAAAAAAAAAAAAAAAAAAAGAAATCAAAGAACTACAACAGCGCCTGTGACCATTTAAGAATTAATATTGTTGACAACAATTTAGAATCCATCGTTGAACCTTCAGTCCATACTTTACAAAATTGTAAATAGCACGTTGCTTCATCGAGGAGTCATGTTTTTAAAAATTGCGAGATCAACTGTTCGACGTTAATACTGCAAACTTCGGCGTTGATAATGCAACATTCGCGGAATCAAAACGTGGAATTTTGCCTTAGTCGAGAACAAAGTAAACACGGCTTGTTTAAATAATTATTAGAGGCTGCAAAACTCGAGGAAGCTCGCCGAGGCGAATTAATTAATCGCACCTTTCCTTTAAACTTCCGAACTCGGGCTCGGCTTTCTCTCGCTAAAGGTTCTGATCGTCTGATTAAAGTTACATCGACATTAAGAAACCAAAGCGCCGGAGTAACTGTGTTTAGTTTCCCTAACCGGTTACCAACTAGAACACAATGCGTACAAACTTCTTTTCCATCGAGACTCGGCAATGGCCGAGAGCTGAGAAACATCCACGTGACCGAGCGAACAAAAGATATCCGCGCAACACATTTTCTGTCAATGATCCTTCCTCTTCTGTGTAATTACACCTGGACGAACGTCCCTTCTGGCGTTAATAACAATCCGCTCGCTTGCCTCGCTATTAAATTATAGATTTTCGTCACGGTCGAGCGGGCAGGAGGAGAAGACTTGAGAAACTCTGGCCACGCGGAGTCAGGTATGCCGGAGAAATATATATAAGTGGGGTTCCCACAAAAACGCAGAACTGTCCACCGGTTGACAGGCAGCGGGGTGCGCGTCGGTTCATTGTTGCCTCATTGTTGCGGATTCCTCCTCCATTATGCGCCCGTATCTCTCGCTATCTCCTCTAACGTCTCCGAGCATCGTCGAGAGACAGAGACAGAGACAGAGAGGATGGAAAAGATGGAGAGAGTGGAAGAGCGTCGAATTTAGCTCTCATTGTGAGCTACTCCAACACCGGACACCCCCACTGCGATGGAAATTCTCTTGATGTAAATAAAAAA